TTACTCCAAAGTAGGAAGAAAGTCTGATGCCATGAAGAAGAAAAACAATTTTAGGTGAGAATTAAAAGTGCAAGTAAAAACAACCAATCAACAGTTATCAGTCTTTCTAGTTTTCTAAGCTTGTAGCTTGGGTAATATTGAATTATTTTCTCTTTACCAGGCTTTCATCGTCTTCTGCTGTTTCCTCCTTTTTGCCACTAACTTTCTATCTCATACAAATCACTACAGAGGAAAGAGCAGTTTGAAGGACACTCGAGGTCTAGTACCAGCTCTGAAATTTATCAATATGTAATCACTCTGGTTCTCAGTTTCCTTAATTATAAAATGATGGCAAGACACTTAACTACTTTTAAGTTCTATTTTAAATACAAAACTCTAACACAATAACCTGGCTACAAGAGAAATCTTCTAACCAGCCATTTTCCCTTTAACAATAAATGTCTTAAATTTCATTTTGATCATAACACTCATTAAAATCCTATAATTACTTTAAATAGGCTCTGAAATGAAAGAAAATGACATTCAACCAGTTAATTTCCCATTACTTAACATGCTCTTCCATTATACTCAAATTCATAGCCACGTGTCACAGCCTAGGGCTAAAGAAAGAACTAAAGTCACTGAGTAGCTAAATGTGCCAGGCAACACAAAGCATTTCTTCTTAACAGTCCTATAAGGATTATATTTTATCCCCATTTTAGAGATGGTGAAATAAATGCCCAGTAGTAAGGTTATGTATCTTGTCTACCATCAAATATCTAATAAGTAAGTGAATCCAGTTTGTCTGGCTTCAAGACCAATGTTATAGCAAACCTATTAATTTAAGAATGAATGGAAATTGAAACATTTTAGAGTCATAAATATTACATGTATTCACAGTTTAGAAGGAAGATGCAAATATAACAAGACATGTATATAACGATATCCATATACACTAACAACCTCAACTGCATTTCCCTCTCTGGTGGGCTTGACTGAATTATATTGGTCTAACTATTTAATTAAACAGCTAATTTACAGCATGTAACAATACTAGTTCTAGCAAATATCAGAGCTGAAAAAAAATCAGAGTTGAAAAACAGAAAATATCAGACTTGAAAAAAATCTTGGAAGTGTAATCTTTTTCTGATACAACAATTCCCTTAAATCTCTCTTATATGAGTTGCTCATTCAACTTTATTGAGAGAGCCTTGAGAAACTAAAAATAGAGCTACCATATGATCCTGCAATCCCACTCCTGGGCATTACCCGGAGAAAAACATGGTCCGAAAGGATACATGCACCTCAATGTTCACTACAGTGCTGTTTACAATAGCTAAGACATGGAAACAACCTAAATGTCCATCAACAGAGGAATGGATAAAGAAGATGTGGTACATATACACAATGGAATATTACTCAGCCATTAAAAAGAATGAAATAATGCCATTTGCAGCAACATGGATGGACCTAGAGACTGTCATACAGAGTGAAGTAAGTCAGACAGAGAAAGAGAAGTATTGTATGACATTGCTTATATGTGGAATCTATAAAAAAAGAAGATACAAATGAACTTATGTAAAACAGAAACAGACTCACAGACTTAGAGAACTAATTTATGGTTACTGGGGGGCAGGGTGGGAGGGAGGAATAGTTAGGGAGTTTGGGATTGACATGTACACACTGCTATATTTAAAATGGATAACCATCAAGGACCTACTGTATAGCACAGGGAGATCTGCTCAATATTCTGTAACAACCTAATTGGGAAAAGAATTTGAAAAAGAATACATACATGTATATGTATAACTGAATCACTTTGTTGTACACTTGAAACTAACAGAACTTTGTTAATCAACTATACCCCAATATAAAATAAAAAGTTAAAAAAAAAACTTTACTGAGAGAGAACTTACTACAGCAGCTCAGTTCATTTTTTAATAGTACTATTCTTTGTACTGAAATGAAATCTGCCATCATTGACTTCTGCTTTGTCTTCCACACCCACAAAGTATACAGTCAATCCAAGGATGGAAGGAACCTGTACTACAGCTTACCACTTGCCCCTTTTCCAAGCATCTGGCAAACACTGCTACTTGATCAGCATAAACAAGGACCCATCCAGTAAACCTTGACAGTGAGCTCCAGAAAGTTACCACCAATCCATCAGAGTCAACACACACAAAAGGAAATCTCACTGCTATCACTAGTTTAATTCTTGTTTTACGTGTTCCCCCTTTTAACTTTAAAGAGTTACCAAATCTTTGTTAAATCTCTTCTTTAATAGATTTTAAATCCCATTTTCCTTCAACTGTTCCATATGTAACAGGATTTTCATCACCTCACCATTCCAGCAACTCTTCACTGGATAAGCTTTTATAAGGTTAAGATCTGATCTAGGGTATGATCTGATCCAACCCAGAGTTTTCTATTTCTCTTTGGCAAACCTTCCTTCTCCTCCTATACTTGGAACACTACTTAAGATTTGATTGTTAGACCTTTTTATTCTTTCTTTATAAACTCTTTCCCATTATGGGCTGCTAACTCTTTTATTAGCTTCTATATTTATATTATTTCTATTTGATCATCTAAATCAGATGATGAAAAATCCCCTATTAAAAGTCCTTCACTATCTTCTAATTTATTGACTATAAAGACCCTAGTAATCTGACACCCACCTGCATCTGCTCTTTTACTTCTTTACACTGATCTCTGTTCATGATTTTTATTCTTGCAACACATCAAGTTTTCTCCTACCCCAAGGCGTTGTATGTTTTTTCTCCTTTGCTGGGAACACTCTACCTGGATCTTTGTAAGTCTGGCAACTTTCCCCCCATTGGGTTTCAAGTCAGACGTAGCCTCCTCAAAGAGACTTTCCCTAATTATGTCCTCTACCTAAAATAGCCCCCACCCCCTTCTTTACAATACTTTATTTACTTCCTTCATTGCACTTGAAGATTTAAAAAAAAAAAACTTGTTAACTATTTGTCTTCCCTCATTAGAATATAGGGTCCATAAATATAGGGACTTTGACTATTTTGGTCAATCATAACCAGCATCTAGAATGGTGCCTGACACAGAACAGAAAATCACTGACTATTAAGCCTAAGAATTCCATTACAGCAATTCCTACATATATCTCTTTCTTTCTATTCCTACTGCCACATTTTTTTTTTTGCGGTACGCGGGCCTCTCACTGTTGTGGAGCACAGGCTTCGGACGCGCAGGCTCAGTGGCCATGGCTCACGGGCCTAGCCGCTCCGTGGCATGTGGGATCTTCCCGGACCGGGGCACGAACCCATGTCCCCTGCATCGTCAGGCGGACTCTTAACCACTGCGCCACCAGGGAAGCCTCTACTGCCACATTTTACTTCAAGTTCTCTTCACCTTACAGTTGTGGCACTGGAGTAACCTCCTGCCAATTTATATGCCTTTAGTCTCTATTCTCTCAAATTCATTCTTCATACATACCCCAAGATCAATTTTTCCATTAAGTCTCTCTCATCCCCACTGCCAACAAGTATAAACACCTTAGCCTAGTATTCAATGTCCTCAATATCTTTTTAACTGAAATCATACAGTTTCAGACGTAATGGTAAAAAGTCTGCAAATAATCAGACATATACTGAGAAGCCACTGAGGTATAAGTTCCTTAAGGAAATCTTGAGAGATCTTGTTTATATTGTTTGTTGCTAATCTATCACCTGGAAGTGCCTGGAATACAGTATGCATCAAGGAATAAATGAACAAATAATTTCATAATAATTTTTAATGAATTAAATGAATGATCCTAAACTAGAGAATGAATGCCTAGATGAAAGTATTATTCTTTGAAGATCAGTCTGGTTCTCAGACACATGGAGATTAGTTAGTAAATTACTTTAGTAAAAATAGCCAACATTAATTGAGTTCCTACCACTAGCCTAAGATTTTTACATGGATTTAATCCTCACACATTTCAGTGAGGTAGATAGTATTAAAGATAAGGAAACTGGTATACATAAAAAGTTAAGCATTTTGTTCAAGTACATTTAATATTTATGTGTCAGACACAGTATGTGAACCAAGAAAAGCAATGATGAGGGCCTGATTAAGATACTGGCTGTGAGACAGAAAAAAATAAACTGGAAAAAGTATTTTAAAAGTAGAGGCCAGAGCAGTAATTGCCACCTCACATCATCATTAAGCACTGCAAATCTGCTCTCACTAACATATGTAATTTTTATTTTATTTTTTTATATTTGAATTTTATTTTATTTTAGTTTTTTACACAGCAGGTTCTTATTAGTCATCCATTTTATACATATTAGTGTATACATGTCAATCCCAACCTCCCAATTCATTCCACCCCCACCACCACCCCCATATATATAATTTTTAAAATGACATATGTACCATCAATCTGAATACTAAATGATAAAAAGCTTAATATCTTTCTTATTTTTTAGATAAAATTATGATTAAGTTTTAATATTTTCTTCCCACACCCCAACGGATAGATTAGAATCTAAATAATAAAGTTATCGTCGTGGATTTAAATCTACTGTGGACCAAGTTAACTTCTGCTGGGTTCTACAGCTACAGATTGCATTCTAGCCACTCACATTATTCATGAAAGCCACTGAGATACATGGAGGAATGGTTGTCTGAGCACAATAGCTCACTTCAAATCCAGCTTTGATAATATAACCAACAAGTGGTGAGTCAGAAGAATCACCTTAGTTGTCAGAGAGCACACTATTAAAATAAAAAAAATTTCAATATTAGATGTCACCTGATTGCTGATCTTTCAGGGTAGTACAAAGTATACATTTTCAAATCACTGCACAAATGAAAACTCCTGCAGCAATCTGATAAGGTAGATTTATGTATACCTCATCACATGAGAAATGTCAAAAATACCTAGGTCCTTCTTATATGCTGTTAAGAATAAAACTTACCAAAGTCTTCTAAAACAAAATTTACATTAAAAATGAATTATAAATATAATGAAAATTCAAGTAAAAAGTTTCTCATCTTACCCTGTCTAGTTCCAGTGTAAACTTCTGGTCCCACGACTGATTGGAAATGGGTTTCCAGCTAGTTTGGCCAACCACAGTATTATCTAGCTTCAAAACTGCACAGACATCATCTGTAATTACAATTTAAAACTTGCTTAAATATTTTAAAACCTTTAAAATAGAAATGCCACTGTTTAATATCAACAAAAGTCTTATGATCCTTTGAAAATAAGTTTTTCTTACTCACTACTGAAGCTTTTGAATCTTAAATGGCTAGTTTTATATATACACTCCCACTAGACCCTCCCAAGTTATCCTTTGTGTTTCACAAAAACAAATAGTAATCACTATTTCGTTTATATTAAAATGTAACTGAAAGGACTAACAGGTGACCAGTAATTGTTTGTCAGGTGTGTGTGTATATTTATATGTCAATATCAATCATCCAGTTTTTCTCTGTCTACATTTGCTATTTATTAATGTTGTTACCTTAAACAATTTTTATTTTCACATTTTTCCTAAAGTCTCTCTCTAGATACAGGAAAGCACAGACATACTGTACTAGGTTGAATTGTCACATGCCTTTTCCACCAGTTGTATAATTACATCATAGTTTATGATTACTTTACAGTGTCTCCAAAGTACTTCATAAACCTCTCCCATTTTACTTTACCACCTTTACCCACTGCCCCATTTCAGTTTACTTCTGGGACCCAGTCCTAGTTAAACATGTTTAGTTCAGTGGTTAGCTATCAAAATTTCAACGTTAGTTTAGAGGTGTCATTATACCATTAAAAGAATCAAGATGTGACACAAAGAGTTTGACATAAAGAGTGATGTTCAATATTTCATTATTCCAAAAGAATTAATGTTATATGTCATTCAGTTTTCTAACATATTTTCAGCAGGGTGAATTTTGTAGCCTTTTAAATTTTCCTGTCATTATAGCTTTTGATATTTTAAATTTAAATTATGGAAATCATAATTTTAAAGTTTGTTGTCTAACTCTAACTCGTCTCACTCTTCTCTGTCCCCACTGCTCAGCCCTTTGTATAGGCCCTTTAATTTGTTATATGATTGATAAAAAAATCTGATTACTGAACTGGATAAGTCATCGGTTTTTAGGAGATTTCGACTACTTCCACTTTTACTTTTACTCGTTCTGCTCATGAAAGATGATCTGGTTTCACTTGGACTCCAACCAGGTAGTGCAACCGATGCTGCTTTTGACCGTCCGGGGACATTCTCTAGGATATCTTGACAGCCCATTAGACGAACTTCCAAAGTACCTGTAGCATGAGCAAATATCAAATAAGAAAACATCAATACTCAACATATAAAATGACGTCGTTGTTACCTATTTAGAAATAGGGGGGAAAAATATCTGCTAAAATAACAAAATCTCTTCTTCCAGAGCATCTTCGAGGTAACTATCATCTTTACTGCTTTATTTAGAGAAACCTATTAAAAATTCTTAATTAATTAAAACAACTATAAAAAAATGTATAGAAAGAACAGCACCAGCCAAAAGCTGTCAGGCATAGAACAAAACTAGTTACTTAAACTTCCTGTGTATCTGAATACTCATTTCTATAATTCCATGGAAAAATTACAGAATTATGTGGATAAAACATGTGGGAGGGGAAACATAAAACTAAATAATATGCCTACTAAAATAAACATAAAGAAATTAGAAACAAGGAAATCTGACAATGTAAATAACAGTTGTGTTTAATAGTTATATAGTTAACACAGAAAAGGACTACAGGGGTTTTTTTTTTTGGCATAAGTAGATGGAGTTCTGTTCTATTTGAGATCTAAAATAACATTATCTTCTCACTTTAATAGTTTAGTCAAATAATTATGGGCTATAATTATCTAAGCATAAAGTAATTATAATTTCCTTAGGCAAATACATACTAAAAGTGTTCAAATGAAAATGAGGAACTGTGAGCTTAGGCATCTGGAGATATGGCTTTGTCATCATTTGGGCTAGACTTAGTGTATTAAAATTTAAAATGGTGCCTCAGTATTAAAATTTTAGATACTGCCCATAGTATAGCACTTTAGAAAGAGTATTTCCTGGTAAAAGCTGTCCCATTAAACTTAAATAATTAAAACTTAATTTTTTAATTATTTAAAAGTAACCAAAGGACTCTTTCAACAAAGTAAAAAAGTTTGTATTTAATCTCAACTCAACCAAAAAAAAAAATAAGACAAAAAATATAAAAAAAACAGTGTTAAAGGAAAGGGACATCAGGCAATGAAGAACAGTGATCCCTGAGAGAAGAGTCCTAAGATTGCTTACTACCTTGAGAATATCTAGGACACAGCACAGGGAGGGAGAACTCAGGTGGAGCCAAGTGGACTACCTGAGTTAAGGAGACAGAACTGAGAGTATTGAGGCTGAACTGACTGAGGTGGCGAGATTTCACAGGCAGAGTAAAGGAAAAAATACAGCTGTCCAGAGACAGAATCCCTGAGGTGTGCAGAAGGTTCTCCAGACCAAGTATTCAGTCTTGCCCCAGGAGTAGAGAATAGTTACCCTTAGAATAAATGATGCTCTAGCCCCACATAACAAATCTTAAAAGCATTACCCAAAAGATCAAACTGTTTCCAAGTAACCTAACTATGACCCAGAACAAAGCTCAAAAATATTTGTAATATTTGTAGGAATACAAAAATACCCAGCACCTAACAAGCTAAAATTCCAAATGTCTGGCATTTAATCAGAGATTATCAGGTATATTTGTTTTCTATTGCTGCATTACCAATTATCACAAATGTAGTGGCTTAAAACAACACTCATTTATTATCTAACAGTTTTGTAGGCCAGAGTTTGAGTGGGCTGGTCTGCACTCTCTGTCAAAGATCTCATAAGGCTGAAATCATTGTATCTGCCAGGCTAGGCTCTTATCTGGAAGTTCTAAAGAAGAACCTGCTTCTAAGCTCATCCAGGGTATTGGCAGAATCTAGTTTCCTGCAGCTGTAAGAATAGGGATCCTATTTCCTTGCTGGCTGACAGCCAGGGGCTGTTTTCAAGTTCTAGAGCGGACCTGCATCCCTCGTCATGTGACAGCCCCCCCATCTCTATGCCAGCAATGGCACATAAAATCCTTTTTATGATTCATATCTGACTTCCCCTTCTGCCACTGGCCAGAGAAAATTTTCTACTTTTAAGGGGCTCATGTGATTTTATTAAGCCCACCCATGTAACTGTCCTTTACGATAACTCAAAGTCAACTGATTAGTAACCTAAATTACATATGCAAAAATCTCCTTTGCCATGTAATGGAATATTATCACAGAAGTGATACCCCATCATATTCATGGGGGAGGGATTCTGGGGGTCATTCTTAATATTCTGCCTATCACACCAGGGAAGCAAAGAAACAGAAAAGTGGGACCCATTAAAAAAATAAAATCAAATGAAAACCAATACAAAACTGATATAAATGTTAGGATTAGCACACATTCACACAGTTATTATAAATATATTCCATCTGTTCAAAAAGTTGAACAGGGACACTGAAGAAGTCAGAAAAACACAAAACAAATTTCTAGAGATGAAAATAACATTGAGATTTTTTTAAAAAACCCCAAAACTGGATGGGATTGGTGGCACATTACACATTGCAAAAGTAGAGGCTACTGAACTTGAAGCTAGCGCAACAGAAATGATCAAAAATAGAAGACAGAAAGCAAAGACTTGGAGGGCAAAAACAACAACAAAAAACCAGCACATATGTGAGCTGTGAGTTTAACTTCTAGTGGCCTAATCCATGTGTACTTGGAAGTCCCTGATGAAAAGCAAAGAGGATAGGGAACAGAAAATATATTTGAAAAAATAATGACTGAAAAATTGCCTAATGTAGTGAAAACTATAAGCCCAAGAAGTATCCAAGAAGTTCAATGAACACCGAGCAAAAGAAAAATAAGTAAATTACACCAAAGCATAACATAATCAAATTTCTCAAAACAAACAATAAGAGAAAGTATTAAAAGCAGCCAGAAAAAATGACATGTACATATAAGATTAGGACAGCAGCAGATTTCTCATTAGAAACAATGAAAGCAAGACAGAGAAGCAATATCTTTAAAGTACTGAGGAAACAAACCATGAACTTAAAATTCTAAGTCTACTGAAAATTTCTTTCAAAAATGAAGCTTTTTCAAACATAAAAATGGATAAAGAACCCATTATCAGCAAATTACCATGTGATCCATCCACACAATTCCTAAGTATTTATCCCAGTGAAGTGAAATCTATGTTTACACAAAAATTATACAGGGATCTTATTAGCAGCTATATTTGAAAAAAGTACAAAATGGAAACAACCCAAGTATCAATCACAGGTGAATGGATAAACTAGTTATGGTATATTCACACAATTGAATACTACCAATAATAAACAGAAAAGAACTACTGATACATGCAACATAGACAAATATCAAAAGAATTATTCAGAGTGAAATGGCCAGATTCCCACCCCCAACAAAAAAAAGAGTATGCACTGTATGATTCAATTTATATACAGTTCTACAAAGTGAAAACTAATATCTAGTGACAGAAACAGGCCAGTGATTGCCTGGGGACAGGTGTGGGGAAGGAAAGCATGAGAAGAGCAAGAAAAAGAGATTACATAGACGCACATGAGGATACTTTTGGGGATGATGGATATAATTATCGATTGTGGTAATAGTTTCAAGACTTTAAATAGATGACAAAACTTGTCAAATTATACACTTTAAATATGTGCAATAAAACATGTTCTAAAAACTGGATATTGATAATGGTGGCTCAAGTATATGTATTTCCTAAAAATTTAAAACTATACTTAAAATCGGTGAAAATTTATATACTATAGTGTATAAATTATGTCCCAATAAAGATTCTAAACATGAGGGGAAACTTCAATCTTATGTTTGGTTAGGCTATGGAAATCTTATCTTACTGTAAAGTATTAAGGCAGATTAAGTACAACGGAAATCATTTCAATTCTGGTTCCAAAGAAACAACTTGTGTCTGTGTGTTTTATTTGCTTTTTTGTTGTTGTTAAGGTAGCAAACTTAGTTCATTTCCACTGTAAATGCTCAGATGTAAAAGTCATCCTGGGAAAACTGTAAACATCTGGTTACTACTTCAAACCCTGCTAGCTTATAGCTTATTAAAGATTTTAGTAATTTCAATGTATTAGGGGATGACAATGTTCAACACCTGCTTTCATTTAGAATAAAACCTGGAGGGATTTAAGATCTTTATTAAGTATCTAGAAGTTTCTTTCTTTTATGAGGTGACACAATTGCTATTGCATATAACCATACAAGAAGTGGCTTAAAATTACATTTTTTACTTTTATGACCCATAATATGAAATTTTAAAAACAAGCAAATCCAAAAAATAAGTGTTTGTATTCATAAGCAATAGCTAAAATTCCATTAGAACAACTAAATACTTTTTTATTTCTTTTAACTTTCTGGAAAAACTGTTTTATATCAATTTTACTAATTCAGTATTTCATCTCGGTACAATTAACTTTTCTTTAATTCTGAGGAATCTTCTTTTATAAAAACTAGTAAATGTCTCAAAATTTGGACTAAAAATTAAATTATACTTTATATCAAAGTAATTTGCAAATTTTAGTATTATAATCATACAACCACGAAAGAAACCAGAGTATAAATGAGATAAACCACAAATAATAGCATACAGTAAAAACTCAGGGCGGTAAATACTCCTACTACTTATCTATGCTAATCCTTTATCATGTCTAATCCTTTATTAATACCACTACTATTTCTCTTCCTAGTTAACTCCATATTTAGTTTAAGGTCTGGTAGATAAAGGAATTTTTTAAAACACCAAAATATCTTAAGAATTATAAGATACTTACTTTTAGACTGGTGATTTACATCACTGTGAGTAAAGTTCATTAAGGGAATGAAGAATAGGGAAAGAGAGAACTAAAAAGAGGTTAAAGAGTTGGGAAGAGCAGCCAACCAGAATAGAAAAGGAAAATAATTTCCAGCCATATTAGCTGATTTTCAAAAATGCGGCTTTATTACTTTTCTAAAAATACTATTTAACAACCATATTTTAACCAATGGATCATTCTGAAATTCTTGAATATTAAAAATATGTTCAGCCCTGAGCCATAAGATGGTGAAACTTAGATGTACAGTCCCTGCCTTATTATCAAATGACATTTACCAAATATCTACTGAGTGTATAAAGTATCTTGTGATAGGGGTTAAGATTACATGTAGTAGATGACAAGGTCTTCATAGG